ATCGGACTGAGGACTTTAGGTTGGACCCAACCACCACAGGGTGGGGTTGGATAGTTATATTGAAATAGTGGTTCAGAATAGATATATTAGATATAGACATAGAAGTGCGACTGTCTTTGTAACTAGGTCTCTGGGAAACTACGTGTCTCGAGACAGTCGCTTAATTACCGAATAATAAAGCTAACCACTACTACAATTAAGCGAGAGGACGTAGACCTAGATATTGGTTAGCTACGTACCCAGTACTTACCATAGTATTTATTTTTTGAAGTTAGATTTCTTTTAGATTTAGCCGATTCAATTACGAGGATGATGGCTCAGATGGATAAGAGGGCCAACCCTTACGGGCCTCCTTGGCAATACAAGGGGCAACAGTTTGACCTTGCTTTCCCGTGGCATGAAAAGTGGAATAAGTTTAAGAATAGTCCAGCGTATCGGAAGAGGGCACCGCACAAGGATGAGATGATATCGTTGGTGTCAGGGTACCTTGCGTTTATGGCACTAATGATCCGGCGAAACGGAGTGTGGAAACTAGAATGATTGATGCTATGTACGTACTTAACCAGCTGGAACCGGGGGACCCGCATAGTTTGTGGGGTTCTTCTTGTATGCTGGCTCGTAAGAATCCTTGACAGGTTCCTGTTGATGATAAGGGCTGGCGTTTGGCGGTGGATTATAGCCCACAGAACCCCCAGTTCCACAATTTGCCGGCTGTCTTACCGAACGAGGAGGATCCGTTGAATCATGCTCGAGGAGCCATTGTACAGACTGCTATTGATTTGGCATCCGCATATCATCAGTTGTTGCTTTCGAAGAATTCTCGGAGGTATTTGTCCTTTTACTCGTTGGATGGCCGCTATCATCAACCTACACGTCTACTCGAAGGTGTGCAGAGTGGCTGCTATGACATGCAGCATTTAACTCAAATGACGTTCCAGAGTGTAAAAATATTAATGGCTTATATGGATGATATGGATATAGCTCATCATCAAATTGTGGGTTGCACGTATATATATATATATATATATTCTATGCGTAACCATTGGTTTGAGCTACACCTTACACTTGATATATGTATTGCAAAGAACATCGAGTTACAACCGCATAAGTTCCAGATTGCTGTGTTGCAGTCGGAAGTGTTGCATGGTTTTGGTCGTGATTTGTTGGAATACGGTTTCAATGATCGATCACGACCGATTGCAGGGTTTCCTCAATGCACTTGCCCCAACGAGTAAACCAGAGGTAGCATCGTTATTGGCTATGTTGTCTTGGTGGAGTGGCATAATCCTTGGCTCGTAAGTGGAATAGCCGGGCCTCCACATTAGATTCTATGTTATAAACGTACTTTTGAGCAGTACGTACACTAAAAACGTACTCTTAATAGGACAAGGAACTTAAGTTTCCTAAATGGGTTTTAACGGTTTTATTAATTAATACCTTTTCCATTTTACATATCAGATATTTGGACAAAACCATTAAAAGGCCCCAGTAAAATACCCAACATAAGAGTTGGTCTAGTTCTATTAATAGAACTATATTTACTTTCCAACTTTATTTATATATGAATACTTCGGTAGGCTCAACCGAATATAGGTTTCTAGGGACTATTAACGTTACCTAGTTGATCCTCCGATCAGCCATCCAGATGTGCCAGTCTGATGAAGGTTAAGTCGGTAATTCTTGATCAGTGGTAAGTTATTGGATAAGACAATAACTAAGGACATCAAGAGTATTTTTTTCTTTTTTATAAAGATAGGATTTTATGAGTCTCTCAGATTCGCCCCAATGAAACATATCATAGTTTCTAATAGAGCGACAACGAAACACTAAATAAAGTCCCTTCGGCGGAAACAGTACTGAGAGGATTATATATAGGCAATGTCTCAGCCTCACAATCCCTCAGAGTAATGCTGTTTTCACGAGGCATACCTAACTTTACTAAAAGTCTCTTTTCGTTTATTTACTTTAAAAAAATTACGATACTTAGAATTTACCTACGCGTTTATTTATTCTAAGGCGTTAATATCGCCTTGATAGACCAAATCTTACACCTTTTAAAGTTAGCAAAGATATTAATTACTTAGACTACTTAAGCGTAAAGGTAAATTAACTACCACAAATTTTTTCTTGTTTAAGCTAGTCCTTAAGAGACAAGCTAGTAGTCATAAGTTAAGATTATGACCAAGAAAGACAATACTCCTTCTAAGAAGCGTAGAGCTGAAAAGAAGAAGATAGAGAGAGAAGCCGCTAGCGCTGCCGCAGAAGCAACCGCCGCCGCTGCCGATGCGTTTAACCGCACAGTAGCCGAAGCACTTGCCTCCGACAATAATAGTCAACAGGACAATGCTTCAAATAAGGATGTAGCCACTCCGATTAAGGAGACTACTCCCACTAACAGAGCCCGAGGGCCAACTATTGTCTCAACTTCAAAGCTTGCATTTACGGAGCCAAGAAGTGAGACAAGGGACACGTCTCAAGACGACCCAACCAATTCTTCTGACGAAACTCAGAAAGAAAAGTTCCC